TAGAGAAAGTTTTGAACGACTAGAAGATTTATACTAAAACAATTAGATTATTCGCTCTCGATTTCTATGCGTGATAGAAATCTCGAGCTCATAATCTATGATGGAACCAATCAGATTTAATATAAATGTAGGTAAACGGAAAGCCTAAGTGAAGTCCGTTTTAATTCTTAGAAACTGACCCATTGATGCCAGCAACTCCGGGTTCTGCTGCTTGAGGCAAACAAAATGATGGCTAACCACCCTAGATGTGATGCTGTATGCATAGCAGGTCACCCTTCAATGATTTTCAAGGTTTCCCGGACACTTCTCCGGAACCCAATTTATACTTCGGAGTAAATTGAGACCGTGTCTTCCCCCCTCACCCCATGGGTATATAAATGGGTACCGATAAATGGAAAAACGAAGAGGGCAAGGAAATCAAACTACATTAAACTGACATGATTGAAAATAAGATTAAAAACAAGACAACAAACCTGAGTTTGCCTTTGTAGGCGTTCGGTTTTAACTCAAGTGACGGGTTATAAATTTTGCGCGTGATGAATCTCGGGTACTTGTTCTCAACTTCGGCCACAAATGAAACCTGCATTGCCATTCGCTGAAGAGTGGCTGTTCTTTGTACGGATTCGATGTCACCCACAGCTAAGCCAACCTGGCGTGGAAATAAAGTGCTGTGATGATTTGGCCAATGATATGATTATTTATATCAAATAAGTTAACACAGCTCGTATTTTTATGAATACTTAATCAAACCAAACTCATTTGCCATGATAATGGCTAACATTTCTAAAGGTTTGTTGAACAAGTGGTTATGTTACTTTGTCACCTCGACCGGTCTGGTTGAGAACAATAGTTTCTTAAAAAATAATGCACCTATCTTCACAACCGTTTCATGTTGGCCCAAACAAATGAATGTTCAGTTAATTTCTTACCTGTAGACCTCTTTTGTAGGACTACCTTTTTAATACGACCAACAACAACCACTTAGAGTCCCTGTGCTTTATTTTCCTTGACTGAAATTCACCCCCCTGATACTGGAAATGTTGCCTGATGCGATAAATGGTTAGAAGGAACTTTAAAACAACGTAAATTAATTTTCAATAAGCGTGGTACTTGTTTTAATTTCAATATATTGCGAAAAAGAAATAACGGGGACTCGAACTAATTTAACATGTTCAGTACATGGCATAATTTGAAAGGGTTGTAATTACAGAGTACGACGACACATGTCATTAGGGATGATAAGCAAACCGACATTGAGGCAGCAAATAAATAAATAAATAAATAAATAAATAGAGCGGTTTTCATTTGAGTGTCGAAAAGTAATTAGTTTTGCACTTTCCACGCCACGCGATTGGCTTAAAAAACTCGCGCCACTTTTTCATCCAATCAGAAGTACAACAAAAACCAATTGTGACGTGTTCGCATGCATTTTTGCGCTCTTCACATCAGCTACATGTAATTACTTCGAATTTTGATTGGTTCCACTGTATTGTCTGTGCCCTATGTGATTGGCTAGAGTGATTACTTTGGTTTTGGTTTTACGACACTCAATTGAAAACCAAAAGAAGTAGCCAATAAAATGTTTCAAAATCAGCTTAAAGTTTCTTACCAGAAGATTCATAAGAATAATCGACATTAGAAGGAGAAACACGAAGATGAAGGTGAGCGCAATCTCCGGAAATGGATTCAGAGGGTTCCCTGTGCGTTCATTATTGCTGCCGATGCTTTCGATAAAAGACGTGAGGTACTCAAACTCCCCAACCATCATAACGGACACTTTGACAATCGACCGACCAACGTTTCTAAACGCTTCCTGAAAAGTAATTGAGAATAAGCATATTAACGCGTGCTTTGACTAAATTATACGTCTCGTTTGTATCCGAAAATAAGATAAGTAAAGTCATCAACGTCTTCAGACTAGCGGGTGATAACTGGCCGGAGGCGGATTGACTAATACTGTCAAAAGAGATAACATGCCTTAGTGTGAAACAGCACTTGCATGTATGATGTTATGGTGGGTAACCTGGCTGATCGTTTCTTTAGGCGGATAAATGTAAAGAAGTATTTAACGAATCATCGAATTCATCCTGGTTTTGCTCTGGACGAATATAACTCGGAAGCGACTGAACTGTCTGGGCAGACCCAAAGAATTGTACTCAGTATTATAAAATTTGGAAACTGTTTTGTTAAGAGAACACCAATCGTTTTCTAGCTGACTAAGGCTGTGTTCCTTTGGGGTGATCCTGATCAGGAACAGTGATCCAAGATCGTGGTGCTTCAAAGGAACCGATGAATCCGTGACCCGAATGGATTCATCGGTTCCTTTGATGTACCATGATCGGAGTGATTTTGGACCTCTGATCCTGATTCAGATCACCTTAAAGGAACGTGCCCTAAAATACCGAAGATGTAAACTGTGGACCCAAGTTCACCACGAAAAAGTGACATTGTTTTAATTTAAAGTTTCTTTCTTCATAGTTTCGTACCTGTTCTTTGAAAAGGACGAAGAACACAACGGCAAATGCGATGATGAAAATAAAGAAGACCAAAAATACTCTTGCTACCGTTTTGAAGACCTCAAGGAACATGGATACGTAAATTCCAAAGGGCTGAAAGCGCCTCAAGAACAGAATCGCATTCACATAGCACAAGAAGATGGAGACAATTCCAAAGATCCACAAATTTCGCGGATTTTTCAGGCTGCCAAATACTTCTTCCAGCTGTTTGGTTGTTAGCATATAAGGCATCATAAAACAGAGTGTTGTCACGTACAGAGCCCATTCAGTGACGTTAGAGGGATCGCGGAAGTATCGTCTCCGTTGAACAAAGAGCTGAAATATTTCTTTTAGGATGTGGGCAAAGGCGAAGACCAAGGCGACGTATAACACAGCTCCGTTAAACACGGTGGACCTGATGAAAATCTCCGTGACTTTAACACGCTTGTCGGTCTCATTCTCTGATTTAGTCGGATTGAAATCTTGAACATTTCTCTCCGTGACTATAAATATGGTGTACGTAATCAAGAAAATTAAGTAGGTCAGGAGATTGAAGTAGTATATGTATCGCCCAAATGAAGCCCATTTGACATCTAAGAGCTTCTGTGTCAAGGGATGTAAGAGGAGACCTTCGCGATTGAATTTCACCATTGTTGTGGGCCCAAAGAAGCGGTTTCCTGCGAGGTTTGTCTCGTCATCAGGACCTGGGTCCAGAAGATGGAAATCGTACCATTCGGTGTAGTTGGGATCTGTTTGAATGTGAGACGAACGTTTGATGCAGTGATCCATCACAAGATAAGCGGCTTCAGGAAAATACTCTATTAATATTTTCATTGGTGGCTCGTGATTTACATTTCGACATTCCAGAATTTCTGGCCATCTGGTGGAATAAAAGGAGCGAGTGAGAAGAAATAAACACGCCTGTTGCTTGCTCCCCAGACATGCTCGTCTCGGTTGTCATACCCGTGCTCGTGCCAATGCCCGTGCCAGTTCCCGTTCCCGTTGCCGCATCCGTACCCGTGCCTGTGCCCGTACCCGTGCCCGTGCCCGTTCCCGTGCCCGTTCCCGTACCCGTGCCTGTGCCCGTACTTGTGCCCTTGACTGTACCTGTGCTCGTACCCGTACCCCTGCTCATTCCAGTTCTGCGACATTGCCCGTGTTGGACTGGTGCCCGTGCCCGTACTTGTGCCTGTAAACTCGTCTTAATAAGTGATAGTAAACTGTTCAAGTGGATATCTAGCAATCAGCGATGTCCAATAAATAACATTTCGAACGTAAGACAATAAAGGTCATTCGATTCTTTATCAAGCAGTTTATGTTTTGTCACCGACAGCCCACCGACAATGTCAAAACAACTTAGTTCTACTAAAGTGTGGAAAGCGTTATTTGAAGATATTTTTAAAAGTCGGTTTCTGTTTATGTACAAAATTCCTTTCAAATTGAAAGAAAACCTGACAGTCATACTTTTTTAAAGAAGAAAAATAGCAAAGAAGTAATAATAAACCAGAAATAAACAAGAGGGTTGCGATCGACTGAGGAAAACTACTGTTGGAAGGATTACGAACTGCAAAGGTGCAAAAATTGGCCAATTGTTTCAAGACGCTCCATTGGTGATATAGTTCCTGGAGCTCGAGATTGTGAAAAACCATTATACATTGTAGATCGATGAGCATTGCTGCACCAACCTTTTGTGTTTAGCAATGGCCAACGCCACATCCCCTGCGCCCGACTGCACCGCCACATCCAAGCAAGTCTGTCCCTGATTGTTTTGTATGCACACATTGGCGCCAGAATTTAGCAACAGTTCCACCACTCTGACATTTCCATAAGACGATGCAATATGTAATGGGGTATTACCGATGTTGTTCGCGTGATCGAGAGAAGCTTGTTTATTCAGGAGCTCCTGGGAAGTCTTATCACAGCCTGATCTTGCGGCCCACATTAGCGGTGTCCAACGATCGTTGTCTCTAGCGTTGACGTCAGCACCAAGGCGAGTAAGGACCTGGCATGCCTTCCTGTTAATTTAAATGATACAAGACGCATGTGAATGGACCGTAGTCTGGGTATTGGACTGGAAATAGCTTGCAACTGATGCTAATGCGGGCATTCTTTTCAAATGCAAATAACATTGTCCCCAATTAGTGTTCCCAATACAGTGCCCCCAATTAACACATTTACAGGTTTTCCATGTAAATTTGACACTTAAAATAAAGTTATATTTATATATAAAAAAATAACATTAATCCCCTTTAAATGATATTCGCCCGAACAATTAAGTCTCCATTGCAACCTAGTTCCATTCCAATACCACGAATACTAACACGGCCTAATGAAAGTGACTTTTTCTATTTGAAAACTCGTGCATGCGTGATTCATGATGATGGCCCTTAAATGATAATAATGATAATGATGAGGATGATAATGATAATAATAGATATTTATATGCACTTCTTGAGAGTAACTTTTAACACAACCAATCAATCATTTTTAGGCTTTCATTGATCATGTTGATACGGCCTTATCTAAAGGTTTTTGAATTTTCGAGGTCATTGTTCATGATTGTGTCGCTAGCTTTTTGACGTTCTCTATGACTTGTTCTTTTACAATAGTCCACTGTTTAATAACAATAGGCGTTTGTTGAAAAACAATACACGCTGATCTTAACTCTAAAAGTATTGCATCGTGATATAAATCCTTGGCCCAGAATGGCAAGGACTGAAAAACTACATTACAGTCGTGTGATTTCGTGGGGCGCTTAGCTCCGAAATATTGCAATCTTGGACATAGTAAAATAAGAAAAAAAAACAAAAAAAACACCCCTCCCCCCAATCAATGATGAACTCGCGCTACAACCAAAACGCGCCATTTTCTCCAACGTTGAAAAGAGGGGNGGGGGGGGCAGAGAGGGTGGTCTTAATTTTTCATTTATTTTTTCAAGATTGTAACTCCTAGAGTACGGTTTTCGTCAGTATTAGGTAGGGTTACTGACCCGCATGGCCAGAGAATGGTTTATGTGTCATTCTTTGTACCTGTTTCCTTTCATCGCTGCCAGGTGAATGGGTGTCATGCCATGATCATCTCTCTCATTGATACCAGACATCGCTTTTCCCAAGGCTTCCACGTGGGTGTACCGAGCACACTGAGCTGCGAGATGCAGTGGTGTCTGTTGGGCTTGGTCTTGAAAGGAACCTCGCGAATACTTGGTTAATAGGAGTTCTAGAATCTGACAATTGAAAAAACGAAAAATAAAAAAAAAAGTTTCGATTTCATTTTCTCAGGCGCGGTAAGAAGCGGGGAAAATTTCAAAATACTGAGAATAATAGCAAACCACAGCAAAATGAAACGCAGAGTTAGAATTAAATTTACAACGATGACAGTCTCTGAAGAGTTTTCCCGTTATGCATGTCTTCCTACTTAGTACTGTATAATTTTCGAGGAGTTTGAATATAATACAACTCTCTCACCATTCAAAATAATCCACTATTAAAAAAATAGCGTTGTGATCTTCGAGGCAAAGTCTGTGCTGGAATGCTATGTCACATTAAGCTGGCACTTGTTTCTAGGTTCCGTTGCACTAAGCAGAAATAAATCTACTCAACCCAACCCCCCCCGTATGGGATGTTAGTCGATCGCAGGGTACCCCCAGTATTAAATTTGCTGTTGCCAACTAATACACCTGGCGGGGTGAAGACTGGGGGTGAAGATAGGGACTATGAGAGTACAATGTGTTGACCAAACACATAATGACCCTAGAGACAACTCAAACCGGCTATCGCCTTATCTGGATTACAGCACGTCTTAAAGCGCAAGGACTTGCAACCTGGGAAAACTAGCAATGAAGCTCCTAGAATAACTAAAAACGAAAAAGTTATTGATAGGTACCTTAATATTGGGCGAGGTAGCAGCATTATGTAAAGGCACCCTTTCACGCGCGTCGGACTTGTAGAGGTTTTCTGAAGTTTTTTTATCCTCCAAGAGAAGTTGAAGCATTTCCAAGTGTCCATTGTCGACAGCCAGGTGTAAGCAGTTTTTTATGTCCGATGTGCTCGCGTGGACATCAGCTCCTGATTCACGAAGTAGTTGCGCACTTTCCGCGCTGCCAGCGGCTACTGCCATAAGGAAAGGTGTGCAATTGCCACTGGCTTTGATGTCAATTTGCGCGCCCAAACTAAGAAGAGCTTTGATGACTGCGAGACGATTGTCACTGGCTGCTCTGTGATGAGATGAAAGAACATCATTTTATACCAACCATTTTTTTTACAGCAGAAGTGCAGACAAAAGGGGACAGTAGTCAAAGCGATCTAGTCAAAGATTATTAGTTAATTATGTTCTTATTAGCAGTTGTGTTGTTTTCCAATTTACCTGTAAATTAGTATTTTGTTCATTTCTGTCACCTTTCCAAGTCTTTCTTTTATAGTTTAATATATAACTGTTATTAGTTGCCATAGCTATTGTGTGCTCTTCTTATATTGATGTTTTGTATTTATATATAACTTAAACTATTTTAGACTCCCTTCATAGCATAGAAATAGCGTTTTTCCTTTTCTTTTTTTCTTCTTGCGTGTGCATTTGTGCTCAAGTTTTCTTGCTGACCTGTATTTTATTTCTATTTAATGCTAATGTTAACTGCCTGCCTGGCTCGCTAGCCCCTATGGTTATTCCAGGCAGCTAGTACTCTAATTTTTGCTTTTAATATTGTCATTGAAATTGTAATTTTTTCTTTAGCAAGAGTGAGTGCAAATAAAGATCGATTGATTAGTAGTGTCAAGCTGCATCAAACGCAAGATATAAGGGCACCCGAAACTTCAAAATTCAAAAACGAAAACGTTTCGTCAGATAGGTTAATTAAAAAAATTGACATAAAAAAATGAAAATTTGAGTACGGGTTGGAAGAGGTTATCGTTTTGGGGACAAAAATTAAATGCGAATTGGCTTAGAGTGACTATTTTATTATTGTCTGGGACTCGAGCATTGCTTGATGGTTAATGATTAAAAGTTCACTTGCCAAAGTAATCAACTTAGCATTGAAAAGAAATTAACGGTTGAAAAGAGCTTTTCAATTTTTTATTTGCGATCTTGTAAGTACAAAACCCTTTGCCGTGGAGCAGAGAGTTTTATATTACATAATCTGTATGTTAAGCATTCACAAACGCACTCAATGAACGCAATAGACTACTGGAAGACGTGACAAATCACCTAATGTACCAACCTGTGTAATGGCGTCTGTTTCTCGTTGTCTTTCATGTGCAATTCAGCTCCTTTCCTGCACAAAATTTCAACTATTTCTAGGTCACCCTTCATGGATGCTATGTGAAGTGGAGTCGTCAAAGTGGCCCTTTGTGTGTTCACGTGGGCGCCGTGCTCAAGACATAGCTCAACCGATGTTACGTTTCCAGTCTCCGCGGCCAAGTGCAGAGCGCGATCCTGGTCAGAGTCTGGTTCGTTCACGTATTCTTCTACATTGATGAGTTGGGAGGTGGCTAAATGTACAAGACAAAAGTGGGAAGTGCTTATATAGAGCTCGGCTATAGCAGCTTAATTCAAGCTTTGAATCGTTTGTCCGTACTTTAGTGAGATAATCATCTTATTCTCGACTACATGTAGAGCATTTTCACTCACGTGGCCAGCAGCCGTGCAATATTTTTGGAACAAAAGAAAATCCCACAGGACTAGTTTATGACACCAATATGGCTGCCATGATGTCAAAGACTTCCGCCGGGAAACATATTTTTAAAGAAGCAGACCCTTTAGATGCCCTGTTCAGGGGCGGATCTAGGGGGAGATTGCAGGGGTGCGCACTCCCCCCCACCCCCGTGAGATGACGTCTTCTTCTTCGTATTCCCTTTTAAAATTTGTTTACCTCACTAGTCGGTTACGCCATTTCTTAGTGGTACACCCCCTCCTAAAAAAATTCCTGAATCCGCACCCGTCGTTTATTGAGTTTAATTCAAAGCTACAGCCAGTTACAAAAATGTTGAAACATTGAAATGGAGTGCAAATAACAAATTTGTCACAGTATAACAATGAGCCCTGCTCTCCCCGATTCAGTTTTGTTCAATGACATCTAACTTTTGTACATGATATCGCTTAGCGGGGGCGGGGGAAGAAAGGGGGAAGGAAGGGAAAAAGATTACGCGAGATAGCGCGATGAGGAATTGTCTCTCGTTAAAGTACATGTAGGATGTCTCAACTACTTTTGCAACTACAATGGTAGCTGTGCCTGAGTAATCTTTTCGTAATATTCCCAAGTACTTATGCCTGGGGTTGTTTGTGCTTCATTACTATAAACTTCGTCATGGACAAGGTTGTCCTCAGGCTCTCTCGTCTCCCTGGACTCTGGAGGGAGAAAGAGAAAAACGGGGCGCGAGGAATATAAACCGTGATTGGTAACGAAGTTGCTTTATGAAATCTACTCACTGACCTTGTTTAATAAGCAGTTCTGCTAGGTGGGTGTTACAGTTGAATATAGCCGTGTGCAAGGGTGTGCTATCATCTGCGGTCTTCGCTCGGATGTCTGCATCATGTCGCAGTAAGGTGCGACATATTTCAAGATCGCCGTTCATGCACACGAGATGCAGAGCCGTCATTCCAACCTGTGTCTTAGCATTGACGTCGATATCTGTGTCACGCACCAACAGATCTACCATGTCCTTGTTACGTCTTCGCACAGCATGGTGTAGGGCGGTGTTGTTTAATGCGTCGACAAGAGATGGCTTGGCACCTGATTTGAGAAGAACTTCGGCAACTGCGGGGCAGTTAAACCTTCGGAAAAGAACAACAACAGATAAAATTAATGGTAATCAGCCGCAAAAAATAGAAGGGAACATATCCTAAACATTCACCATACTCCATTTTTATGCACGTAACAATGTAATCGCAATAAACGAAAAAAAAAAATAACAAAATAACAAAATAAAAAAAATAAAAAAACAAAAAAAATAAAATGAAAAAAATAGTAAGTAATCGAACAGGCCGGCAAGCGTTTGTCGTTCGTTCGTGCGTGCGTGAGTGCGTCCGTTGGTTCGTTCGTTTTCTTTTTTCCTTCGGTCGGTCGGTCTCGTCAGGTCACAATCAGTCAGTCGTTCGTTTGTTCGGTCGCTCGTTGGCTCTTTGGTTCGTCAGTTTACTCCTTCGGTTACTCGTTCGTTCGGTCATTACTCTGTGCTGTTGGTCGGTCGGACGTCTAGACTGTTTACAGTCCCCTATTTTTCCGTGAGATCGTAGATGTCGNATTACCTATCAAGTGTTGTTCTACCTTAGTTTAGCTATTATTTTGATCTTTCCTTCGATGAGAGTTAAATTGAATGTTTTTCTCGTTTAAAACGTAACGTGACACTCCCGCGTTACATAGTTTACAAAAATAAATCAAGTTTAAATTATTCACTTGGACACCGCATTTAGCAAAATAGGACAATGTGGTAATTGAATTATAATATTTCACACTCAAGACTACTGAATCACAAGCGAACGACTTCGAAACTGTCCCTGATGGACTCGAACTAGTAAACTTTGTGAGCGCAGTTCTGACATAGAAAAACCGGCTCTGTTACTTGCTTGTAAAATTAAGCTAGAATGCTATAACTACAGCAAAATGAGATCTCCGTTGTGTTTGAGTGATGGACATAGCAGAAAATGTTGTTTTGAACGTTCACTGATTTCAATGTTGAGAGAAATCATCAAAATTCTAGGGCACTTAGAACTGCTAGGGAATGATTCCGCGGTATTCAGATCAAACAAGAGATTATGTTCCCGCACGAATACGCTGGAAATTCCAATGTTCCGGGTTGTGGACGTTGTGTATTCAGTTACAAAATAAATATCTTCCCAGGTGAAATACACTTTCAAGGAAAGTAATCAAATCCTACAATTTAAAGGCAAGCTTGTGAAATACAAACCCTCCGGTCATTTCATGTCAATTTTATAATTTGTCGACAATTAATTCCATGTTGAGACATTTAAGTACAAGCTGAAAGCACTTAAATTACGATCACCCTTGATATTTTCAGTCAGGACGGAGAGTAATAGCCATCTCTCCTGCTCTAGCTTACCTCGCTGCGACGTGAAGTGGGGTCGAACCATCCTTCAATCGAATATTGACTCGAGCGCCATGATCGATCAATATTTGAGTCATCTCCACTCGATTCCATCGTGCCGCTAAATGTAGCAGAGAAACGCCTTCTTCGTCAAGATTGTTGATTATCTTCACGTTGTTATTATCCAGGAGATAATCTCTCAATTCACTCACGATTCCATCCTGTATGATTTCATGGATCTGTTGTGACCGAGTTGACAAACCCACAAACTTTAACGAAGCTAGTTCAATGCTGGAATCCATCAAGTCGACTTTGCTTGCGGCTGTACTTGTTCGACTCAGCAGCGGCGAATCTTTGTAATTGTTCGATCTTGGTCCTTTCGCTCTCGCTGTCGTAGAAGTCATTGTGAGAAAGTATTATCTAGCCCTGTTGCGACGAGAGAGCTTCTCTAAGATAGGAAGTTGAGGCTTGAAGAACATGAAAACGACGTCAGGCGGGATATGTAAGAAGCCCACGAATGTTGGCACTGTAATATTTTTCAACATAAAGCCATTGGCCCGGAACCAACTATTTCACTATTATACATATAACACCAACCCGGTAACGCAATACAAAGCAAAACAATACATACATTTATTAACTTCACGTCAAGCTCAGGCACCTACCAACAATGACCAATATAACAACCTCTCATATTTACCCCTTAACCTGCTAATTTTTCTTGTTAATAAAAAGAACTTAAGGTGGCCCAATAGGCTAAAAGGGACAAAAAGTTTGTTTAAACATGGAGAAGAAAGATTAATTACGTGCGATTGCACTCATGAAGAGAAAATCAATTTTGAAGGTTTTACTTAAAATGGTTGCTGTAGCAACCAGCCTAACCCTTTTCAGGTTTTAGTTTATAGCATAGACGCCAACAGTTCCTGCTCTTTTACAAAACAAGATTTCGCTTTCAAACAAGCACAGCCGTTGTCAGTGAGTTTCTGTTTCGTTCAATTCTGTTCAATGAACCAAACTTTTGACAGCTGACTCTTGTTTTTAGTGCTTTTTAAAGGCTTTACAAGTGTTAAAGGGCCTGATTGTAACTTGACCGGACGGTGCTGAAGTTGGTTTGGGGATAATTTTTACGCCAGGTCTTGCTTTTACGTAAACAGTAGCTATGTCAGAACTACAGATTATTCACTTTACGGAGACCAAAGGTCCATAAACGCCGTACCTTCGGATTTTTTAGATCAGCCAGTATTAACGAAAGAAAGAAGACGAAATAATAAGTCTTGGGTTCGAGTCCTTCCTGGAAAACTCGGAGGAATGACCTGCGTCAGAAATGTTTGTGCGTATAATGATAACTCTAAACTTAGGGATATGAAACACAAAATAACTCTGAGCACACTATATTTGTACAAAAGGACTATCTTACTCTCCAATAGGAGGCGTGTGATCGAAAGAAGTAACATGAATAAATCATATAAATATAAGCCCATGAGTTTAGATTTGACACGGAAGCGGAACGATTTTGAGGGGATTCGGGGGGAGGGGCACTCATTTTTGGACTTTTGTTTGACGAGGTAGAGTCGCCTTGTGGTTAAGGCGCTGGTGTTATACTTCGGAGGTCCCTCTCTCTTCTGCTAGATGGATTTGCGTTCGGTTGTTCCAGATTCAACTTCTCCGCGTCTTGTAAATAGCCAACTGACCAGCCTCAGACCAGTTGGGATTTTTTAAAACAGGTTTTCAGTTCTAAATACCATGACAAATTGTTTTATTTTTCATTTTATTTTTACTTACGGTATATGATCACGGTTTTTAATATTGACATTCCCGTTAATTCTCATAGATGGTAAAGAAAAGACAAATCACTAGACAAGTGCATTTTTGTTTCAAATGGGGCTTTTCCCTTTATTTTCTCCAAACCTACAAAATAGTTTCACAAAAATAGCGCTTATTATAAATAGTGGAACAAACCCCTAACAATGTACATGTCGAAAGATCTGGGACAAACTTGTGCTCTTTCAAGTAAATCCTTCAAATCTGAAATTTTCCTCAAATTCTCCATAGTGAGGTACTAAAATGCGCAATACAAAATTTGTAGCTTATCTGATACAGTGAAACGTTCGTCGACTTCGTTGTAATCTTGTCGGTAACACTTTCAGTGCGACCCTCACTGAATGATCTTACTAGTACTGTGCAAACTAGTCTTTTGTACTTACAAGGTTTCTTGAGGAATGTTTAACGCCTTCTGATTGTCACTGCCCCATAGCTGTTGCTGTATTGTTATTAAGCCGCGCCCGCGGCCTTCTGCGGTTTCCCTCGTCTACGCATGCCTCGTTCTCATTAAATAATCCCGCGCTTGTTGGGGCCTTTTTAGCCTCTTCCAGGCGTTCAGTAGGTTGGGGCGCAGTGCGAAAAACAGCGTTTTTTTTCGCGCTGCGCCCCAACGAACTGAACGTCTGGAAGAGGTTAGGGCCTTTTGTCCTGTTCAGTATAGTGACATTAAACCTGGAGTTCGTTAAACCTGAAATTCGTCTCAATTTATTGGCGCTGAACTTAACTTGTACGAGGCACTCATACCATTTCGTTCAAGTGAAGTAGCGAGTAATTCACTAGATTTTGCTGTTAAACAGTTGCTTCCCTTTCATCTTATCTCTAGACTTAACCTGGTGCTCTATTGCTCTCTACGCATAAATATACCAAACTAGAAACAAATAAACGCAAAAAAATAAAAATCAACGACAACTTTTTTCCTTCAGACAGACCACTGACCACAGTGTATTTTGTTCGTGTTGCTGCTGTCTATGGACTATTGTGTAATAAAATATCCTAAAGATTGATTCTCTGAAAAATATAATCCACTCTGAACCGACAAAACGAGTTAAAGTCTACTACTCCCTAAAGTTTGCAGTTTATGGCATAAAAAGATTCTCCCGAGAACACATAAAGTCTTCCAATCGACAACTCGCAGGACTCTCTAAACTAACAGACTGTTATATGTGGTTTAGTTTCCTGGGCCGTGTCTTCCGGCGGTTGCCCATCAAAGAAGTCTGGAGCCAAAGTTACCTGGTCCTCAGCCATACTGGGAGAAATCTGGTCCAGACTTCGCGCGTCCATTTCGGCCTCGGGATCAATTTTTCTGGCCAATCTTCGTAACAGTGTATTCTGAGCCTCGATCACATTAACCAGCGTCTTGACGCGTTTTTTAGTCTTGTCGAGTTGCTTTCTGACCTCGGTGTACTCTGATAAATCTGAATCGATTTCATTAGCAGGTAGTCCAAAGTCCTGCTTCGAGAACTTCTGCATTCCAAGAAAAGCCATCAACCTCAAAAAGAAGAAGCAATATTTGTTACATTAAATTTTTTTCACAATAACTGCAGAAATTCTCGCGCGCTCATTGGCTAATTTTCGTCGTCAATAAGTGGACAGACAGTTTTTCTTGCATCTGTCCTGTTGTTGACGATGAATTTCGTCATAACATTGTCAACGTAGTCTGCTGATTTGTCGATCAAAGGCTACTTTGGCAATGTTATGACGAAATTTATGATCAATAACAGGGCAGACGCATGAAAAACTGACGTCAATTTGTTAAATGGAACCCGAAAAACAAAACTAATAATTGTAGATTTTTATATATTTTTTTGGTCAATATTTTTGTTGCAATTTTGACGAGTATGGAAAAGGAATTAACTCAGTACACATAAGCCTGCAAAAGTCTCACTAATCTCGTCCCTTGCCAATGTTTTACAGGATTAGCGGGAATTCAGATTCAAATTTTGTAACTTTTAATTTCAGTGACATTTGAATCCTTAATCTGCTTAAATTATGCGGATTCCGCCCTTCGGTTTTCATTTTAGGTAACTTATGCAAGGTAAACAGGCTGATTTCGTTTTAATTCTCAAACTAACATTAACCGGTTTAGAACAACCGGACTATGTAACTCACATCATGTCATTTTTTTTTACTGTTTAGTGCCACATCGGCGGGCGCTTAATTAGTGGCATAACGTTTCATAAGCGGGACCGTTTTTCAATTTTAAATATAAACGGAATGCAAAATATACGAAGTGCAATTTTCTTCGCCGTGGGACTTTGTACCGGACAGATCTACACACCTTTTCCATCGAGTCGGGCGATTTGGTTTGAGAACCAGTGATGGGTGGTACACCCGCCGCGTGATGAATCTTGGGTAGCCTTCTTCAATCTCTGCTACAAATTCGACTTGCATGGCCAACCTCTTTAGCGTAGCATTCTGTTGTATGGAGTCAATGTCTCCCACAGCAAGACCAACCTGCGTGTAAAAGGAAACCGATTTAAGTAGGGCATAACTGAGAGAAAATTTTCACATTTGTTTTACGAAACAGAAAGCGGTTCCGTTCAAAGTTTCCTACTCATTTAAAAGAATGAGCGAGGGCCATTAAGAGCAAGCGCAAAGTTCACGAAGGTGAAATTTGTTTATTTAGCAATATTTTAATTTGCGTTGTGTTCTTCCCAGGCTAACACTTTTTCACTATATTATCCAGTTTCCCCCCAAGCTATTCACTGACACTCACTGAGAAAATTGAAATGTTGTTTTTCATTTCCCAAAATCTGAAACAAGGGAAAGAAAAAATCAAACCGGTTTCAAAACTTTAAACTAAAAGTAAATGGTTCATCAATGAACGGTAGCCGAGGATCCAGGATGGCGCAGTTTTCAATCGAATGTCATACAACAAAAGCTAAAGTTATCACTCTAGCCAATCACAGAGGACGCAGACAACAGAGTGGACCAATCGAAACTTCGAGCAAATACATGCAGTTTACGCAAAGCGCAGGAAAACGTGTGCAAACGAGCCATGAATGGTTTTGGTCTTACTTCTGATTAGATGACAAAGTGGCGTGGGTTTCATGAGACAATAAGGTAGTAATGCAAAACCAAAGCAAATGCGATAAGTAAAATCGCTCGAAATCCTGCATGGATTAAAGAGATGAATCTTTCTAGTTGACTACATACCAGAAGGTTCATCAGTATGATCGCCATAAGAAGCAGGAAAAAAGTGATGAAGACAAACGCAGCTTCAGGAAACGGATTCTGTGGTGCGGTAGTCGATCGCGACGTAGCATTCTTGCTAATGGTTTTAATGAATGTATCATCGAATTCTAGCTCCCCAATCATCATCACTGACACCTTGAGAAAAGATCTCCCGAGATCGCTAAATGAATCCTGTGGTACAAACAGAGAAACGCATTAGAAGAAGTAATTCAGACTGGAAACGAACTAAAGTCGTGCTCTCTTGAGATCAGCCGTTTCTGGTTGGTTGGGTTTTTTCGCTTTCCGTTGGGGGAAAACCCGTGCTTTGGTTGATCAACTTTTTCATCCGGTCTCAACCCAGGTTGAAACGGTTGAAAATGCATTTGCGTGACTATGTTACGTGATTGTAGCTTGCATAAGGACAATTCTGAGGAGTTAACGCGTTTCAACCGAAAACGGGCGGAAAAGTGTTGTATTGAGAAAGGTCAACCGTATCAACCCAAGCCGGTTATGGTTGAAACGGTGATCCTAATAAAAAAGTCCCTCCTATTCGTGGTTTGCGATCTTTCTCGAGAGATTCTAATGACAATACCCTGGCGACCATGTTGGATGACAAGAACAATAAAACTAAGAATAATTATTTTGTTCATTGTCATTCAACATGGCGGTGATGACATCAGTTGCAAACGATTTATCCCCCGACCCTCCGACATCTGACAATCAAACAACAGAGTGCCTTACTATCCAACTTATCAGCTGGCTTTTTAACTCAGTACCACTACCCAATAACTTATTGAAGTAACACAGGACAACTTGACTAACAATAGACGGACCTCATAGAGATCGAAACTTACTGGAACCGACCAATGACTGCTGAAGAACTTTACACGAGTCTTTCAGCCAATAACATCATGGCTAAACTGACCAATCACTTTTAACGGACCAGGATTTTATCACCATCGACTGACAAACACTATTTACTTGACTCTGAAGATGACTTCGCTCAGGTTGTTGAAAAAGGACTGGATGGGGTGCTCGTCAGAAATTTTGAAAAAAAACCCTAAGAGGTACCAAGACCCTGTTTTGTGGGCGTGGTTTGAGATGTTTTTCACTCCTGAGAGGTAACGATTCTAAAGCAGTACATGTACTCCCAATGACTTTTTTTGGCTACCGCGAAAACTCCTGGTGGGGGTCCCTTTGAGGCTGCACACCCTAAGAGGTAGCAGCACCCTCGTCCTTTTTATGTGGGAGTCATCCCCCTTCGGATCGATACAATTAATTTTTAACATTTTCATCTCACCTGCTCCTTAAAGAGGATGAAGAATACAATGGCAAACCCAAAAATGAAGACAAAGAAGACCATCAGCACCTTGAGCACCGTCTGGGTGACCTCTAGAAACATGGTGACGTAAATACCAAACAGGCGAAATCGGCGGAGGAAGAGGACCAAGTTTGCGTAACAGAGGAATATCGACACCAATCCCACAATCCAGAGAAAGTAAGGATCTGTCATTTGGCTGAATAGATCTTCAGTGATATCGTCAGGCATAACAAATGGTATCATGAAGGCAAATGCGGTACCATAGAGCGCCCATTCGAGCAGGTTGCTGATGTCTGTGAAGTACCTAAAGCGTTGAATGAATATTTGGAAAATCTCCTTCACAAGATGGACAAGTGCGAAGCCAAACACTATATACGAAAACCCTTTGCTAAATGCCGTTTCGACATCGTAAACTTCCGACACTTTGTCACATACCAGTTGATAATCTTCTATAAAGGTGTCATTGTCGTCAAAGTAAGAAAAGTCTTCATAGTAACAGTCTTTTCCGTCCACTTTGACGAGTGACGTAAAGTTCTGCTTATTTCTCTCAATGACGATAAAAGCCGAATAGAGACCAACAAAGATCAAATACGATAGAAAGTTCAAGTAGTAAATGAAGCGTCCAAAGGTCGACCATTTCTGACTCAGCAACATCTGGGTTAGTGGATGAAGCAGCAGTCCTTTCCGCTCGTGTTTCACCATGGTGCTTGGTCCGAAGAAACGTCTTCCATGAACGAAAGCTGGGTCGTCAGGGCCTGGGTCTAGAAGGCTGAAATCGTAAGTAACAGAAAACTGTGGATCGTTGGAACTCGTCATCTCTGATCTTTTAACACAGCGGTCCATCAACAGCTCAGCGCTTTCTGGAAAGTGCTCTATTAGCAGCTTCATAGGTGTGTGGCCATGTATGTCCTTGTGTTCCATTATTTCAGGCCATCTGGTGAGTGGCAGAAACAGATATCATGATATGACAAATATTCAACACAAAAGGCATAGAACCTTTTCACTTTTCACGTGAAGGTGACCAGCGTGCATGCAAGTTAATTGCAACAAAAGAAAGTGTACACATAAGCAGTGAGTTTAACTTCCACAAAATTGGTTTGGGACATCAGTATGGCCGCCTTGACGTCGTGTGAAAACACTTTATAATTAAAGGCTGCCGCACACTAGACGATTTTTTTGTCGTAGAACTGCAGATTTTTTGTCGGGGTCAAATCGAGTTAAGATTTGTCGGGCTATCAGCTTGCCGCACACTAGCCGATTTTTTGTCGCGACTAACCGCGTTGAGACTTGGGGCCGAGTCATTCAAAATCAAGATAGCGCCTATTCCACTGACGTGACTCTCATGACATTTACTAATTGGTTGAGGCGCGCGCGAGCCCCGACAAATTGTCTTGGTCCACCGCGCACTAGCCTACAAGGCCCGACAAGACGTTTTGAGATCTAGCACTGTCAGAAATCGCCCGACAAGCCCCGATCTTGTCGCAGACTCGTCTGAATTCGCACCCTAGCCGACAAGTGAAGATTTTTTGTCGGCCGACAAAAAATCGGCTCGTGTGCGGCAGCCTTAACAAGAATGAAAATTGCACCTTTTGTCAAGTCATAACTTCACATGCAAATAAATTGGCATCAATATCGCAAACTTGAAAATTCATTATTCGTAACAAAAGGTACCCTATGCATCCTAGCAGGAATTTGAAGGAGGACGAAAGATAGATTAGAATGTAATGCAGCGGATTTCAGTTGCGTGTCGAGAAGTAATTGATTGTGCATTACTACATGAACGCGTCAAGATTGGTTTAAAAAGCTGGCGCCTCTTTTTCATCCAATCGAGGTAAAACCAAAACCAATCGTGTCTCGCTCACACACGTTTTCCCGCGCTTCGCGTAGGCTACATTCGTTCAGTTCGAGTCTAGAATGGTTTACTGGATTGTTTGTGTCTTTTGTGATTGGCCAGAGTGATTACTTTCGTTTTGATTTTACGACACTCAGTCAAAACCCGCTCTATTACTTACACCTGTGATTCATCGTAAGTTATTTAGGTAACACAACCGTGTGACATTCATATATGTTAACATGTTAACTCTTTTACTTTTCAGTGGCTGTTCGGTTGCTTTAATTCATCTCTAAATTAATGACTCCAATTCCAATCGTAAATTAGTTAGTTAAGTGCTGGAATAGGTCCAAAATGGGTAACGAAACGATCGTTGATCTCGCTGACATTTCTAAATTAAAAATGACCTCTACCTTTTGGGGTCGAACCCTTGAATTGTTTGGAAGGATTTTAGTCCCCTGATTCGCCGTTGTTTTTACAAAGCACCAAGAATGAGGTTCCTTAAGAAGAAAGAGGAGTAAACTTTGCTATCTAACATAGGCTTACTTCCCCTTTGAAATGACCGAAGTGTACGTAGGATTAACGTACGAACTTGCTCTAATCACATAAGAAAAGACCATCTCACCTTTGATGCTTGACCATAGCCATGGCTACCTCGCTATTCCCCGCCCGAACTGCAGCCTCTAGACAGGTTAAACTCTGCGTGTTGCAAACATTTAAACTTGCGCCATTTTCCAGCAGTAAGTTGACAATGGCTACGTGACCTTGCCTACAGGCAATGTGCAAGGCAGTATCTCCGTCCATGTTGACGTCATCTGGTGATGCTTGCATGTCCAACAATGCTTGACAAGACTTTCCCCACCCTAGCTTTGATGCCCACATTAACGGTGTCCAGCGGTTGCTGTCTCTGCTGCTTGCATCAGCTCCAAGTTTCAATAAAGTGTAACATACTTTCCTATATGTAAGAGTAAGAGAAATCCTTGGNCGCTCGCATTTAGTGGTCGTGAAAAATTCGACAATTCATTTTCTTTCAAAATTCTTGGTATAGTTTGATAGCTAGCTCCATAAGCTTTAATTTGATCTAGGGGTTTAGGTATCTACAGCTTGAACTGCACGCGTTACATCGCTTGCGCGCGAGACACCCCTGAAGGTATACTGTAACCTTAACAGCGCAGACCAGAAGGATCTGAAGAGGGGCTTTGTCAACAGCTTAGAGACTGCTAAAATGTTGACCGAAAGTGAATGTTGGCTAAATGTGGTAACTGATTGCTGAGAAATGGTCGACATTTCACTGGTATCCGAGCACTGACCAACCTACTCACACCCTCTACCACAAGCCTGCGACAAGCTAACCTGTGTCCATTAATGACTGCATTATGAAGTGGTGTCCGTCCTTGCTCATCTCGTTCATTCAGTCCAGAGGCCACTTGTCGTGCCAGTGCTTCCACCTGTTCGTACATTCCATACTGGGCAGCAAGATGCAGAGGAGTTTGTTGTGTCTCATCGTGGAAAGTGAATCGCGTTTGTTTGTCCAATAGTGCATCCATTATCTGGGGAAGGCAAAGATGGAGAAGATGGATTCCTCAATGAGATCATTTCTTCCGTTATCGAGCTAATTTTGATTAGTTTATGAGCGATATGTCGTGACCCAACTCAGTGGAATGGAAGGAGTCCACTACATACCTAACAATTTGTGTGTGAGTAACCTTCAATAATACCTGTCAGGTATCACTTAATTATTGATAATTTTGAGCTGAAAAAAATTAAAATTCATTGGAATTTGCTTCGCGAACGTTCTCTTTTGATTCAGTGAAATAGCGGTAGTAAACACTGTACGCCAATTTTGTTCAGCAGTGTCTGGAGTGGAGGAGAATGAAGAAGGCCATATGCAAAATACAAAACCGTACTTTCTTTTATTACCTACCCTAATATCTTTCACCATAGCAGCATAATGCAAAGGAACTCTTTCGTGTACATCCGGTCTATAAAGGTTCCATAGAACAGACCTTTCCTCTAGGAGCATTTGTAATGTCTCCAGATTTTCATTTTCAACCGCCATGTGAATGCAGTTCTTCATGAAAATATCACTCGCTTTGATGTCAGCTCCTCTATGGAGGAGAAGTCGAGCACATTTGGTCTGGCCAGCGGCTACAGCGTCCAGGAAAGGTGTGCTACTCTGTGCATCACGTGTGTCGATGGGCACGCCATGGTCAAGGAGAAACGAAATGAGGTCAAGCCGGTTAAATACAGCTGCCCTGAAACAAAAGCATAAATAGTTGTTCATTAAGGGAAAATATCAACGCGAAAGAAAACGTATTAATTTGCGTCATCATCCTTATATAATCTTTCATAGGCTTCATGTTAGGGCGCTTTCACTTACTCATTAAACCTTTCATGGTACATTTCTTTACGGCATCTAATTGATAGAGGGTAGAAAGAAGAGGGGGAGGGGGTTATCCCAGATTCGTTTTATGCACGAATTTTGACAAACTTCACGCGTCGCACATACTTTTAACTATTTCTAACAATGTTTTTCTTTCGTAAATTCACGAATCACGTATTTCACTTAGTTACTTTTCACGAGTCACGAGCTTATTTCTGCGGTCCTCATCACGTGTAACCACCCTCATAACAGGAACATGAAGTTAATAGTTTTATTTTGAGCTCAAATTTATTTCACCTTGTTTACCTTTGTATTCCCCTCAACATTACCTCCTTCCCTTTCTACTGTTTTTGTGAGGTGAAAAAACGTGGGAGAAAGGCTATTATAGACGTGGCAGCAATACCGAAGGGTGACGATGGGTGACCATCGATTGAAGTGATTTACGGTTAAATTACGACTTGAGAGCTGAATCAAACAAGCAGGAGTACATTGACTTACAAAAGAATTAAAAATTTACCTGTGAAGAACAGATTTAGAGTCTGCATTCTTGACGTTTATATCAGCTCCTTTCTGGACCAATAACTCTACCATCTGCAAGTTTCCTTTCACTGCTGCCACGTACAGTGGCGTCTCGTTATTTGTTTTAAGGGCGTTTATGTCCGCGCCGTTCCCAAGACACACTTGTGCGGTGTTTAGATCGTTTGTTCCCGCTGCCAGATGAAGAACTGTGTTGTCATCCACATTCCGATCTTCCACGAGAGTTTTAATATCCTGCTTTGCCTCAGTTGCTGAAAGCAAGAACGTTGATGATAGTATGAGTGCATGGGCTAGCGCCATGATACAGACATCGTACAGCGTCGAAGGCCGCTGTCACAGAGCATTGGCACTGAGCCTTCGTTATCGTTCGCACTTATATTACTATTTTCTATTCATTTTTGTTTGTGAGATCAGGACAACAAGTTATATTTGATACCCCGGAAGGGGAAGAGGGTACTCTGTAAATCTTTGGGTAGGGGTGTGCCGCTGGGCCACTGACACCCTTACCCTATACTAGACCACGATCAGCTTGATTTTGCAACCCTATTCTAAACGAGACACTAAAAACCCTACCCTATCCCTGAGTAGCTATTTTCAAGGCAGAAATGTTATCGGTATCGTAGTCCAACATACGCTAACTAAACCAATATCTTAAAAAGTCACCTCCGAGTTTCTATTCCTGTTATAGAACCCCTTGTAAAGAACCCCGTTTTAGACTAAATTATTTATACACTGGCCACTTTTGCTGTAAATTATACCCTATTCTCGACCAAAACTGTCTGATTTCTATACCCTGTCCCGGAGTAAACTGCCTGAAAACCATGCCCTTCACAGCGGCACATACAGTACCCATATAGCTTATACTGATGGGAGTGCCCCCCTCCCCCCCCGAATCGATATCACCTGGAAGCCTTTCTACTCCTTTTCCACCACCGGCCGGCCGGGGGGAGACGGATCTAACAAGTTTCGGAAGCTGGAGGTAATCTAGGGGGAATGGAAGCCTCTTACGTATTCCAAGCTGTCGCTGATTTACTTCAGGAGTGTCATCTTAAAAGAAGAAGTTGCACAGTGATTTGAGGAAATCTACCCAGTAAAGCTAAGATCATGACCGTCAAGTAAGTGCTCCGTTTCTCAGCTATAGCTCAGGAAGAGGAGAATAAATACAGGTGAGAGGCGGAATCTAATTGGCTAATTAACATCCTTGCGTATTTTTTTGTGTACGTGATATCATTAAGTACACGCTCTTACATAGAATCACTGCGTTTTCATTTTGTCAAGTGTGGTTATAGCAATCGTTGTTTCCTATATACCTGCTCGTAAAATCAGAGCAGCGACTTCACTGTTCCCGTGGTATACAGCAGTATGCAGAGGAGTCATAAGCTCTGTGGATTTAGCTCTTATGTCCGCTCCTTGTTCAAGAAGCATTCTTGAAATGGCGACATTTCCACTGACACAGGCCAGATGAAGTGCGGTCATGTGGACAGAGTCCTTCGAATTGACGTCAACTTTGGCATGATGTACAAGAAGCTCCGCCACTTGCTCATTCCCACGGCGGGCGGCAAAGTGTAATGCCGTGCTACCATTGGTTGACGCTAAAGCAGGGTTTGCACCCCTCTGGATCAGTAACTTGGTAGTCTCGACGCAGTTGAATCTGAAAAACATAACGTTGAGGTATTTTATTGATAAAAAATAACCCCGATTGATCAGTCTATTTTCTGGGCTTTCGAACGAACAGAAACCGGCTTGATAAAACCTATCATGATTAGAAACCTTAGCCAGACCTAGTATTTGCAAAGGTAAATGAAATACGGTGTAAAAGTTATTTCCCCTTCTTTGGCAAAAAAAATATCTTTTAAAGGTAGGGAATCAAACTGTGAAGTTTGATTTCGAATGACTCCACTTTGTGTCAAGTATAAACTGTGAAGGAGGCGTGTACTGAGCTGGCTGGTGTAACGGCTACGCTTGGTTTCAAATATTATATGCATGTTTGTTTGAGCCAGAGAACACTTCAGAAATCTGCATCTATTGACAAAAACAAGTGGGCCGGGACCGCACTGGATCGACTTGTAGATGCGAGCCCAGGATCTGATCATTCGTTTGTAGATTTGGCGTAATCGTTTTTTGTTTGATAGTCTTGAAAAGAAGTTTTTCTATACTATACTCGGACAGTCAAGCAAAACTGCGCTTCGTATTTAAGCCTGACCCAGTTATTTGACCTCCATTTATGTCCCTAGGCAGTTGTAAAATGAATCAAGTTAACAATGCTTTTTGCATAATTATGGAGTGAATTAGCCTTTGGATGTTGTGGCCACTAAGAATTTTAGTCCTGATTTTAGGGAATCTGGATGTAGTAACATTTGGTCAAAAAACGGTCGGTAGTTTGGACCCGTTTGATGGGCATCCGTACGTCTTTACGAGGATAATTTATTCTTTTGCGGCACCGAATTGTCAAGTCTTATTGTGTCCCTTTTGTGTGAAGCTCATAAAAAAATCTAACGTTCGCCGGCCAGCATAATTGATGGTCGTTAGAGTCTATTGAGGGTCAAAATTACCCAACCGCGGTTTACATCACGTTTTCAGCCGGTATCTTTTACACTTTGTTATACTGACCGTGGCTTCTATAGCCTATGTGTTTTGTAAGAGACAGTGAATAGACACCTGTACAAGACAGGGTTCTTATAATCAAAGAGCTTTTCGTGTTAGTAATGCAAAGATTATCATTCTATAGCTGCAGCAAAGGCAGTCACGCGGAAATGTCTTGAAAATATCTGGCGAAAATGGATAAAGTCGGGTGAACTTAAAATTTAAGATATGGAAATCAGCCTGTAAGCCCATATGAGGTTATTTTATTAAGGTATACATAGGTATACATAGAAGTTTTTGTTAGGAATTTTGTCAATTTTCATAGGCATGAATTTTCAATGGACCAGTTAAAGCCGTTTCAGTTAGTGCCTTCATGTATTCCCGACTCAACTGATCGATCAAAGTTCTCAACCAGCTTAAGTTAATTTCTAAACGACGCGAGCCACGGACTTCTCTGAAAAGTTTCTTTTTGTACTGATGTTGACTGTCCCCTTCGTACCACGTAGTGCTGATAAGGTAGCATAATAAGAACTGATTTAATTCTTCGAGCGATTGAACAGACTTGACTAAAGGAAGGAATGAATTATTTCATATAAACTTCACATCAGACTTGACTAACTTGGGGAATAGACAGAGAATAAGTTTTAATTTTGAGCCATTGGAAGAAGAGTTCATTTTAATTACGCGGTAAGAACTACTTATATTCTCGACCAATCAAAGCCGAGCATGCAGGAGTTTCCCAGACATCCAATGATTGATTGATTTTAAAACTGCTTCACCGACGAACAGTTCTCAACCGACGAAAAGTTCACAAAAGATGGTAAAAAAATAAAAAAAAAGTTACTGGACTGATCTTTGTTCGAACACTGAGCAAAGCCTAGCCTCACACCCTCGATAACACCGACTGCGATCTCGACAGGCCCCTGGCAAGTTTTTGACTAGTGCCAGCTGCGTCCATCGTCAGTT